ATTGCCGTGAGAGCTTCCTTTCCTGTATTGCACTATAAAATCATATTGCTGAAGCTCCTCGTGCCACCTTGCAACCGAACTATCGATCTCCTTCATTATTTTCAACCATGTCAACGCTTGATGGTTTGTCCTCACAACGAATTGTTTTCCCATCAAGTAGTGCTTAAAATGTCTGACCATAGTATAGATAGCGAAAAGTTCCCGTTCCGTTGCACTCTTCTGCTTCATCTTTTTGCTGATACGTGAGCTGGCATACGCGATCACATGTTCCTTCCCGTCCTTGTCCTTCTGGGATAGGACTCCGCCCACCTCCTCGTCGCTTGCGTCTGTATCCAGCACGAAAGGAGGGGCCTCGGCATTGACGTTTGGTAAAGACAAGATCGGTGCTGCGCAGAGAGCGAGCTTCAACTCCTTAAAAGATTCTGTGTGTTCGTCCTCCCAAAGAAACTCCTTTTTTGCCTGTTTCTCTGTCAACTTGTACAGGGGACTTGCGATCTTGGCAAATCCTTTTACAAAACGTCGATAATACTTAGCCAAACCAAGGAAATTGCGAAGTTCTGTTTGGTTTGTAGGTGTCAGCCAGGTCCTTACTTCGCTTGTTCTGGCTTCGGTGACCGACTTCCCGTCCGCAGAAATTGTGTGTCCCAGAAACGTGACCGACCTTTGGAGAAAATTGCACTTCTTCGGATTCAAGGTCAGACCTGCTTCCCGAAGTCGATCCAGCACTAATCGGAGGTTGGAGTTATGCTGTTTGATGCCTTTCCCGAAAACTAGAATATCGTCCACATAGTTAGTGCAGTGCTTCGGGAATAGATCACGCAACACCGTCTGCATAAGACGCTGGAAGGTGGCTTCTGCGTTGCAAAGCCCAAAGGACATCGTTTGGAACTCGTATAATCCATTTGGCACAATAAAGGCTGTTTTTTTCTCGATCCTTCTCCGCTACCTCCACCTGCCAGTAACCGGATTTCAGATCCAATGTCGAGAACCACTTCGCTCCTTGCAGAGAATCCAACCAGTCTTTAATGTAGGGTAGGGGGAACACATCCTTCTTTGTTACTGCATTGAGCCTTCTATAATCGACGCATAGGCGTAGGCTGCCGTCATTCTTTTTAACTAATGCGATGGGGGAAGCCCAGGGTGACTGAGAGAGCCTGATTATGTTATCGCGCAGCGTCTCGTCATTCGATGTACTTCGTCTTGGAGAGGTGGCGGTATGCGTCTAGGGGGCTGCCAGACCGGTTTGGCCTCGCCCGTATCGATTCTGTGTTTGACTATGTTCGTTTGTCCCAGTTTCGCTCCCTCCCAGGAGAACATTTGAGCGTAATTCTTCAGGAGTGAATGCAGTTCCTTCCTCTTAGTTTTAGTAACCTGTTTTAGTTGAGCGCAGAGATAGTTTAGATTTGTCCCAGGGATGGCGAGGGCAACGAAAAGCGATAATCATATATCATCTGCGTCTTCCCTTGGTTTAGGGATCGAACGTTTCTTCTTGGGCCATCGGTGAGTTGTGAGCATGCCTGTATCGAAGTCCATAACTGCTCGGGACTGGCGTAAAAAGTCGGCTCTTAACAGTACGTTCTAGGCTAATTCTGGGCACAGCACGAAATTTACCTCCCAGCTGTTATTCCCAATTGAAACTCTGATAGATGCTTCTCCTATTACGGAGATTTCTTTTCCTTCTGCAGATCGTAGTATAGTTGCCGGTGAGGTAATTTTGGCCTTGTTGCAAACCATGGGGAAAGCCTGTGAATTTAGTATGGAACGGGCTGCTCCCGAGTCCAAAAGAAATACGCATGTGTGACCTTCTAGTCTGCCCCGTACACGCATGAAAGTAGAACATCGTGTGGGAGTTAGACAAGACAAAGAGAATTGTGTCTTACTGTGTGTTGAGGGGCCGGTTCGGAGCGCGCGCCGTTGTTCGCCAATAGATCGTTTGTTGGGAGACCACGGGTGAATGCGGGCCTTGAACTCAGTTGAGAGATGTAACTCTTGGCGCTTGGCTAGTGCCGCATCGATGAGGCGGCTCAATCTGCTAGTCTTCATCTACACCAGTTGTTCTGCCAAAGCAGGTGGACGTACACACCTTTTGAACTGGTCGCTATCTATGAGGCAATCCGTAGGGGACAGCAATCCTTGAACATATGTTTGGCTAACGCCTGGAGATTCCCTGCAAAGTCTTCATCACTCTCTCCCGGTTTTTGTAACCGGTGGGAAAAGTGTGAAGCCAGAACTGCTTCCTTCTGGAGGGATGCCAATTTGACAAGGACCTTACAGCAGTCTTCCATATCTGAGAAAGTGAGACACCCGCATCCATTGCTTCCCGACGTAGGTCATAGGGCAAGGCGCGGAGTAGCAATGGTACTCGTCGAGCAGGCTCGTAGAGTTCGAGATCTGCCTTTGCGAAGAAAAGCCAGTCATCGAAATCAATGCCTTCTTTGAAAGGAGGGATGTCAACCGGCGCTGCCACCAGTGGAGTTGCTACTTGACTACGCTTTGGTCCCAGGTTCTCAGACTTTAAGAGGAAGTTGGTTGCAGACGATTTATTAGGCATCGCTGTTAGG